ACACAAAATTATATATTTTTCAAGTTGGGATTTTATGATGAAAAAAGTTTGGTTTCCTATCTTCCAATCAGTTTTATCTATTAGCTTAAGCTAAATAAGTAGGTAAGACAACTCCTAGTAACGCAACTTTCAATAAACAATATTCTGAGTTTTTATGATGCATATGTTAAATATTTTTCAAGAAAAAAAAAATCAAACACACAGTCACTTCGACCTCAGTTATCCAAACAGTGAAGCATATTCAGAGAAAATGCAGTGATGCTGATTGTTAGCTTTTTTCTTTTTTGAGAAGGCATTATTCTTCAGAGCCTCTTCTCTCCAATCAAAGAGTTTAGGTTGGATTCATATCCACAGCAAGTGAGAAACCAGTTTCTGTGCTTCACTTTTATCCCAAAGGATAGGAATTCATTTTTGTCGAATCACTGTGATTTAGTGTAATGGGACAATTTGCACGGTTGGGGAGCTGAAGAAGACAGAGTAAGATGAATTCACACTCCTCTAACCATGTATAATATGTCAAGACCTTCTGTGGCTTTGAGTCCAGGCATTAGCTGTCTGTTCCCACAACCGGTGTGAAACGGTTTTGCTAATGCCTTGGTCATCGCCTGCAATTCCCAGGTGGATTAAAATGATGTGATTTCCTGCTTGTAGAGCTGAGACACCATGAACAAAGGATAACTATTATAGTTTCAAGTAAGGATACCCTAAATTACAGCATGATGTCAATAACACCATTTTAAATGGTAATTTACTGTTAAGTAAATTGTTATGTAATGTAGAACATAAATGAATTGATTTCATGAAAAAATTTAAAAACAATAATAAATCCCACTGCATTCAATTTTCATAGATCAAATTCTAGTATAAGGTCCCAAAAAACCTATTTAATATTTTCAACTGGAACATGCTTTATATGCAGGATGTTAGATCTTCTCTTTTATTTCACTGTTTGCATAGTAACGCTGAGAGTATAATGAGCTATTTTAGTTTTGTTATTAGATGCACTTTGTGTTCATACCATAACTTTGGCTTTCAAAACAATGTTATATTTAAAACATTAACCTGTGTTTATTTTGTACACCAAGATTTTGCATGATTTAAAAAAAAAGTCTTAGATTTAAAAATCCTTTTTTTTTTGCCCTTAAAGTGTCTTAAAATGTTTTTCCCAAATATCTCTTATTTACAGCCTCTAGCTAACAGAGTTTTAACCACAAGCAGTCTCTTTAAATGTTTTGTGTTATTAAGTGTCCTGGTATTTTGCTGCCAAAGGACATGTCAAGGTCACAAGCATTCTTTTCCTTTGATAAGAAGTGTACCTAGTCATTATAAAATAATTTTACACAGCATGAAAAATAGGTAGATTTGTTGTTTGACTCATTAAAGGCAGCCGGTTAGCTGTATCATTAATAAAGAAATACATACCTATCATAGAGGAGTAGCATATATTGTATGTAACTGCATTATCCACTGGATATGTAGCATTTTTGTATTATCAGATACTACCCTTTTCCTTTTGTCTTTCTGCCAATGTCAATCATTCTATTTGCAAGTTTGGCCAGGCAGTCTTTCAAATCGACTGTGAAGTTTATTTTTATTTTAATTCAATATCTTCAACCTAATGCAGCTTATAGCCACAGATATATAAAATGTGCTTCATAACAATGCAAACTTATGTCACATTGAAGTCTACATATAAAACCCTTGTTATAACACTGGCTGTTATAAGAATCCAAATCTACTGATTTAAATGATGTATTAAAATTTTATGTAACGATCTACAACTCATTATACTACACTCTACAGTTGTGCTTAAAAATGTACATACCCTCCCATTAAGGGAAATTATAAATTCACACTAGTAATTCAAATAGCACTAAACTGAAAAAAGTCATTGAAAGTAAACATGTATAGAGGATAATTTAGTTAAAAATATTTTCATGCACTAACTAGATGTTATGCATGAGAAAGATTCCCTGTAGGAATGAACCAATTGTTATGGACCATACATATTTTGGTATAAATCTAAAATCTGCATAATTTTTACATGTTTTGTTGTAAAAGTTTTAAATTGCTAATCTATGCTGTTATATTAATAGTTAATGCTTCCAATCATATTGGTTGATTGGATTTATCTGGCATCTTACATAAGTGCATATTGTTAACATGGAGATATGTCCATTATGTTAACATAACATAATGGAAGTTCAAACTAAGTGAAAATAAGGGCTGCTCAGGGGTGCAGTGGGTACCACTACTGTCTTGTAGCAAGAAGGTTCTGAGGTCCATTCCGGCCCGGGGTCTTTCTGCATGGAATTTGCATGTTCTCTCTGTACATCCGTGGGTTCTCTCCCGGTACTCCGACTTCCTCCCACAGTCCAAAAACATGACTGTTAGGTTAACTGGCTGCTCTAAATTCTCCTTAGGTGTGAGTGTGTGTGTGTGAACAGTTGTATGTCTCTGGTGACCTGTCCAGTGAGAACCCCGCCTCTCATTGACAGCTGGAGATACCAGAACCGCTCATGATTCCAGCTGGTATAAAGCTTGACGGGGAAAAAAAGGATGGTATTTAATAGAATCCACAACTCTGTCCATTGCTTACTCTTTAGGGATAAATATTAGGGATGGACAGAAACACAAAATATGAAAACCAAGGTCCTAAACCAAAAACTGAAACACCTGAAACACATTATTATGTCAAATATTACAAAAGTATCAAAATATTTGTTTACCACTGATTTCTTTTTGTTATGCCCTTTTACTGCGAAATGTTATAATCTTTTGGAACACAGGGTTTAAACTCACACCCCCTGACTCAAAAACTGTCTGCCGTGCGCCCAACTCCACTCTCCCTGTGCTCTCTTGGATCTTTTCTTTGCTTGTTCAACGTTTCTTAGAGCTGGATGTGCTGTTTGTCATGTAATCACAGGTTTTGTCAGTGTTGTTTCTGTGTTAAATGTCTATCGGCCATAAGTTGCGCTTTTCGGTCATTTTTGTCAGAGAATTTTCAGTGCAGCTGTTGTCTTGTCATTGGAATCTACTAATGTTAGGTTATCAATCTAATAAACAATGTTGATCTAAGCCCCTTTCCAGTATGATAAAACTGAATAAACAGCAGCAAGTTTAAGTCTAAGAAAAAAATCTGTTTGGTATTTTTGATGTTTGCCAGAGTGAATGAAGAAGAAGAGTAAAGGGAATAATGTATTAAACCAGATGTGAAACCCCCACAGCTTCAAAGCATTACTTGCCTTACACTACCTCCTCTCCCTCTGTTATACCTACAAATCTACAACTTCTTTGCCCTAGGTTTCATCTATTTTTCTTTTTTTTTTCTAGTTGAGGTGTAGTACTATATTTTTAATAAATATAATGCCAGATTACAGCCTAAGGGTGTGTAAATCATTTAAGTCAACCAAATTGGCTATTTCTTTTTTGGTTCAAATATCTCTTCAGCACCAGCTTTATATCTGTAGTTTCCGTATTTCCCATTAGCCTTCTCTGCCTAATAAACTGTGAATCTTTGTTGCATGGATGTTGCGTTTTGTTGTGGGCAACAGAATTCTATACTTTATATTCCCTGATTGATCCAAAATCATTGTTTAGCATTAGGGCAAAGATAGATATGTAGGTCTTCTGGAACAATGGTCCCTGCAAATCCTTACCAATCTCGCAAGCTCTTTTAACACCAGTGTTTTAAGTGCACACACAGAATTAAATAACCATGGTTTTTATTTGATTAAATGATTTAAATGGAAGGCTTCAGACTGTAGACTCTAAAGATTTCATTGTTGCCCGCTCTTCTCAAGGATCTTTCTGAGTGTGTCTTTGTTTTGACATGCCTAGAATACACACCTCTTCAAACTGACAAAACTGGCTTCTCTCTCCTCTCAGTGCTCTTGTAGTTTAACTCCTCTCCCAGCTATGTAATGGAACTGAAGGGAGGCTCCTGCTGATTTTCAGGAACATTGACTTAGCCAGAAAACACAGATGGTTCACGGTAAACTTAAAGAACTCGCTCAGTGCTATATATCTGGCCGTGTCTTGGCTGGATTCAAGTACAATGTGGTTTTTATCTTGTAATATTGGAGAAAAGTAAACGTGTACATTAATGTCTTAACTCTGGTATAAAATATCCAAGTTCCAGAGACTTTTATCATGATAACAATACACATACTTTTTATTTGTGGTTTAGTATTTATGAATGACTTATATAATGTACTAAGAACCAGAACATAACTGTAATCCTGTTATGGGAAGAATGTTCCATTTATTTCTGTGAAAGTTGTTTGGTTTATCAAGAGTACTCAAATATTCACTTTCAAAGGGCAACACCCTAATCTAGGTCAGTTTTAGTTCAAAAGATTAAATGTGTGATTGGTACTTTTTATGTCGATTAGAATATGTTCTAACTCTATAGCTAACAGCTGAATTGGACTTTAATTGGAAAGGTTTAATGGAAAGTTTATCAACATCTCTAAAGTAGAACACAGAGATAAAATTATAATAAAGAAACTAAATTAATATGGCAGCTTTAGATCAAAGAGAAAAAAAGTTTGACTATCGTAATGTTGCATGTGGACCTTCCTACTGTCTGGTAACTGTGACTCATTGAAAAAAAAAAGTAGTCAGTGTGCTCCCAGGCAAGACGCTGATATGCGTATGAGTGTAATATGGTAAATGTGGCTCTGGTGCTTTGAGTGTTCGGTACCCTCACAAAAGCTTGGTAGAAGCAACAAGCCATGATATTTGATGAGGCTATAAGCAAAGAGAAATCCTGTAAATTCTGTTGATAATTAGGTTTCAGAAATGCATCCAACCAACAATATCAGACAACGCACACACAGCACAGACAAGACTCAACTTCACCATTATTTGTCAAAATATATTTATTTATTTTTGCATAAAGTGCAGATTTTTTTTAAATGACAAGTTTTGTTAAAAATATTTTCATTGATATAAAATATATTAAAGCTTATGTTTGCTGTATTTTTACCTTTTCCCAGGTTGGTGTTACTTCACTAAGCAGCTAAGGTGGACCTTAAGTTGAAGGAGAAGGTAGCAACCTGACGGGCCTCCCTGAAAGCAGGGGGCAGCAGCCGACATGCAGGAATCCTCCTCTGACAACAAGATGGCTAAGCAGGTCAGTGAGGCAATATCATAACTTTCAATGTAACTAAGAGGACATTGTGTGTATAAAACACTGATCTTAATGTATTCACAGGATTGCTGATAGCCTGTTGGTAGTACAGGGTGGGTTGAAGCCACCTGCTGCCATATTGGTACTCCCTAGTTAGACCGGTTGCAATGTAAACAATATGTGTGGAACAGCATCAAACAACAATGACGTTCTCCCATTTTCAGGGAGACTAAAATAAAGATAAATTCATCACTTGGACACACACTTGCTATTTAATAGCATAGGTAGATTACAGTAACTATTGATAAAACAAAATAGGCACATCACATTGCATAGTCATTATGAAGTCAGCGAAGTCTATAAATCATGTAATATAACATATTATAAAAATCCATCACAGCAAAATTAATGTGTTAATTGAGCATAATATTTCAGATGTGCCAAAATTATATGTCTGTTAATGCTGTAGAATTTTCCTATTTGCAAATTCTGCATGCATGAGGCCATCTACTTTTATGCTGTGTTCGTGCATTAGCCTTTAAAAATGTTTGAGTTGCTTTTTTTCCCAACAATATAACATAGAATACGTTTTAGCACATGAGTTTTTCAAATGAGAAATACAACAAACACTACAAAAACAACAGCGACATTCACTTAATAAAGAATTACTACATTTACATTTCACTGTGAATTACTTTCTATTTACTCTACTTTCTTTTTTCTAACGTTAGACACAATGTCGATGGCTAACTCAGTCAATATCTTCGAATCAGTCCGAGAAGGCCAGACTAATGTTACGCTACATACTTGACTATGATATACATCGGCGTATATATGGATTTTCTTGGTTAGTAAACCTACTGACTGTGAAATTACCTGTTGCTCTGTTGGTACTGGCTGTGAAATGACCTGTGAAACGTCTTCCCACAGCTGGCAAACTGCTTGTTTTTGTAGCCAAATGCTACACACACAGGCATTTTTATGGTGCATCTCCGTAGTTTTTTTTTTTTTTTTTTTTCTCGGCTATCAGCAATCCAGTGAATAAATAGAGACCAGTGGTATGAAACACTACAAACATCATAGAGCACAAAGCTGATCTACTAACCATGTACTTTTGTTAACTTGCACAAGATATTCAGATATCCAGATATATTTACCTACCAATGACAGTATTATTTATCTAATCTGATAACAACGGAAGCAGTTTCTTCATCTACTGTACATATTATATAGATCAAGACTTTTATGCTATATACCCTTAAAAGTCAGGTGCAAAATTACACAAAAAAATGTGGTTGGGTGTTGTGGTAAGAACAGGCATGACAGAGAGGCTGGAGAGGCAGGCAAGAGAGAATATTCTGTCCGTGTGTCAACGTATATGACGTGCAATAAGAAATAGAAGAACAGGTTGGCAGAGCAAACCTGAGAAAATACTTCAAAAGGCAAATTCTGAAAAAAAAATGTGATTTTTTTTTTTGTTAAGGTTTAGAGTATTTAAACAGTCTGTTTTCTTAGTATACTCTTAGGTGGCAACCCCACTGCTCATTTATATAGAGGTTTTTTTTTGGCTCAAAGCAGGCTTTTAAAATGCATGTTGACCAATTTACCTTTAAGTGAGCAAATGGCTACTTATTCATGCTGATGGCTTAAGTTGAAAGGCAGGCCTATCGGTGCATTTGCACTCATGTGCTTTGCAGTGCCATTGTGAAAAAGAAAAAGGCAAAAAAAAAAAATATGTTCTGCACTTTGTAATGTTTGTTTATTTATTAATTTTTTTTTTCCAGAGTAACAGTTTGAGCTATCATAAAAACCCTGTACCTGAAGTAAGACGTGTAGTGTCCATCATTACATCAATCAGAGGGAACTTCAGAGGAGTGAGAAAAAGCAGAGGAAATAAATGATCATTGCTGTGATCTTTTCCTGGCTCTTTAAGTGTCTTAAACAAGATGGAGCAGAGTTGAATGATAATAGCAGAGCAGACATCCACTATGCAGGAAAACTAAGGTCAAACTCTGCAAGCTATAATTAGCTCATCCAAGGAGAACCTGAAGCTGCAAAAATGCCTGTGACAGGCAATGATAGCCATTAGGGGGCCATGAGTAAAAACTTGGTGCCCCCCCCACGTGGAAATTAGCAATAATAAATGATTATTCAATTTTCTTTAAAATGAAATCCTAATGTTACCATTTTGTGAGCAGCTGCAATAAATAAGAGGATCAATAAAACATTTTTTATATAACCATTTCATTAATTTTGTGCTAACAATGGTGCATATACTTCCACACAAGATAATGGTGTTAGCTTGTGTTTTATATCAAATCGGCTATCAAAATCAGCTGATTTTAAAAGCGATTAAATAAAGAAGAAATTTAGGTGCAATAAATAAAATGCAACATTGTGGAGTGTAATACAGAACTAGGTCTTTTAAGCCCTTCATTATGTATACTTGAAAAACATTTAATAGTTTAATCAAAATATTCAATGTAGATCAAGTAGCAGTCATGCAACTTTCAATGACCAAAAATATGCAGTGATAAAAGCAACACAGTTTTTGTGTGTGTTACTATTGAAGTTACTGTTATTTTTTTGCATATCTGAAAATTGTTTGAGCAACGAACAAGTATAACACAAATATTGTAATGTAGTGCTGTAAATTACGTTTACATAGTAAAATCCTGCAGTTTGTTGACATAAAGCCTCTATGGACATGTACTGCTGGGGGAGGTAATGTATGTAAAGGTATTTGACTTAATATGTTTTGTTACCAATTACATTTCTCCTTAATGCTCTTTAAAAAGAGGGCCAGCATTCAAATAGCCTTGATCCTCTATTATTTTCTGATGTACACAAGTTTAACATAATTGTAAAGCACTCTCAGAAGCAGTCTTTCAGTATCTGTAAATATTTAAAACGACCCCAGGTAGACTTGTTCCAGGTTTTGCCATGGCCTCTCATCTATTTTGGCTGTCTTTTATTAAGATAGTAAAGACATATAATCTTTCCAACAATGCCATGTTGGAGCTACAGGATTATGTTTCCAGCCCTCCGTCACTTTATCACAAAATACAATTATGTCTGGATGCACTTATGGAGAGCTTCTGTATAATACAGGAAAATTGGCAGAGGTAATTGAAGTTGGCCTTCTGCTAAATGTGGGGAAGAAAGGCAACAGCACAAGCAGTTTCAGGGCCTACAGACAGATATAGTCCCTCCAGTCCTGGGCTATTCCCTGGGCCTCCTCCAGGTGAGACGTGTCTGGAAACAGTCCGAGCCAACGTGCTAAATCGTCTCCATGTGGAGGAGAAGCTACTCCACTCCAATCTCCTCCTGGATGGCTGAGCTCCTCACCCTACCTCTAAGGGAGAGCCCAGCCACCCAGCAACAGCAACATCTTCCTTACCTTGTTACTGGAACTTAAAGATACTTGAACTCCATCACTTGAGGCACGAACCCTCCTCTGACCTTAAGAGGGCAATCCCCTCTTTTCAGGTCAAGAACCATGGCCTCAACTTTGAAGGAGATCTTCACCCCTGCAACAGCTGTTTAGAGCTTAGTTGATGCTTCTTGGATGACTGTCTTTCAGTTAAGTTTTTCAGGTTTTATCCTGGTTAATCAATATCTAATTACTTTCATTTTTTAAAGTATTTTACTGTTGTTTTGTAACACTTATATACAAGATGCTGTTATATGAGGTGCATTTTAAATACTATTATCATTAATAATGTTATTATATAACATCATAGTTACCTCCAGCTCAATAGTGTCATAGTTCTTTTATAGCTACCCTGCTTCCCCAAACTGCCATTAGCACAAGCAGTCTTCTCATTTGAATAGAGCAGTCCAATCCACTGTGCACCTGTTATGCACTGTACATGCAATCTGTGTGGATCCACCACAACACAACCACTAATTGGGCATTGTTTCTCACAGGAATTTTGGAAAGCATAGATACTCTACTCTAGTGCTGCAACTTGGGTCCTTTAGCATAACTTCAAAACATTTTACATTTTTAGGATTTTATCAAACTACTTAAGGCTTTGTACTATTTATAAAAAATAAAATATATTAATATAAGGTGTTATCGGATTTTTGCAGAGCTTTGAACTATTTTGCATTGAATAGCTTTTTAAATAAGAATTTGACTTATAGTTTGTTATTTAGTTTATTAGTAGGAGCCTATCAGCATACCACATTTTGACTTTTTATATTGCTTTGATGATCTAAGTGTTTTCCATGTACCTACTCCTGTTTTAAAGGTGTGGTCACATACAGTACATGACTGGCACTTTATAAATTTCATAGCTGTGACCACTAACCAGTAAAAATAATATTGAATAAGAGTCTTTGTACATGTTGTAAAGGCCTAGCCTGAAGACAAGTTAACCCAAAAGTTCAACTGCTCTAATGTGCCTTAACATTTTTATTGCTCCACCTCTCAGCAAAGCCCCGACAGGGGGGCACCCAAATCATCAGAAGGATCTCAATGTCAAAAGGTGTCAGTCAGGAGAAGGGTGTAAAAGAAAATACTATGAATTAGATGTAAAAACATTAAGAAGCAGGGAAAATATGATGCAAATGATTACTAAAAACTAAATGTCTAAATTACTGAAGGAATCTGCTAAGATGTGTACCTCAACATCACATGAGCAGAGACAGGAATTACTGAAGGCTGTTTGTTGTGTATAACAACATTCTCCAAAATTAAATATATGTCTAGCCTTTGAGGTTAGATAGTAAGATTTTTCATGTTGAGCTGGAAATTTGCTCAATATGAAAAGAGTTATGAAATTCAGAATACAATTGTTAGTTCAAACCTTTTCTTCTGATCGAAAAATTAAAATAAACTTTTAGTACTACACCAACCTAAATCGTAGATTGTTATTAACAAAGCTTCACCATTAGAAGACCTATGTTTTGGAATTGCCTTGTTAAGAATTTATAGTTCTATCCGTGATACACAAGAATACAAGATGCATTTCTAGTCTGCCAGGAATAGCTGAACTTTTGCAAAGAATAGTGGGCAATTATTGCTAAGTCAACATGATGTGATGACGCTGCAATACATTCAAAAGATGCATCAGCAATACTTGTCTGGTACTCGACTATCTGTTTTAATAACCACACTATGAAATTTTCTTATTTCTTTTTTTTAATTTCCCCCCTAATAGGGTAAGTTGGAAAAACCTTACTGATAATATGAGTTTAGTTTAGTTCTATACATTATTAATATTGGCCCTCTCTGGTTGAATCTGTTTTCGGGGAAAGGTGGGATTGGGCATGGTGAAACCTAGTGCCCACTCAGTATAATTAAAAAAACACACCTTTATATGCTTGCTTTCCTCTTTTAAAGATAAAATCTTGGATTCTGACAAAATATGCATGATAGCAGCAGCTATGCAAACATCCCCCTCTGCTGTTATGTTTACTTTGCTCTGGCTGTGGGATTGGCAGATTTTGCTTTTGTCACAGCTATGTGTCACTCTTTAAGCTATAATACGGCAATGTGAGTGGCTGAAATAAAATCTCATACATTTTCATGTTTGTGGACTTACTAAGAGAATTCATCTTTCAGGCAAGTTTACCTATTAGGTTTCACTTTGGAGATGCACTTAGGTTTTTGATTCACTGATAGAGTTGGGATTAGAGCAAACAGTGCATTGCCGTTTGACTGAAAAATAGCATGAGAAAGGTAGGATGGAACTTCTTTAGCAACTTCTAATTCTACTGAGTGATTTACAACAGGAATTTTTTTTTTAATTCAGGGAAATACTGCATGCAACTTTCCTATTTTTTCTTAAGGTTGGCTGTTGGTGATTTTTTTTCCTGTCATCTGCATGCTAAAATAAAGTGACTACTATCAGAGTAAGTTTATATCCAACAGTAATAGTGCAATTATGATGGAAGATGATGTATCACAGGCACAGTAGGGAACTCAAAGCAGAGGATTTAGAAGGAAATTAGAACTTTATGCTGTGTTTTTTTTTAATCGGCTGAAGCCTTGCAGGAATCCTAACACCTTTTAAACCCATTAGTAATCAGTCCAGTCACAACTCCATCAACAGGGTATTTAAAGTGCACTCACTGGAGATGGTCTGTGGAAAGCTGCATCACATTGAAAGAAACATCCATTAGTGTGTTCAGTATTTAGGGAGTTTTAATAATATTTCAGTTAGAAAGTACAGCTGATTGTACATCTGCAAATGTCTTATTAACTTTCAAAGTCTACATTAAAGATTTGACACAAGTGAATCTAACAATTCACTCCCATTTCCACATGTATATCTATGCAAATCAATGCGTATAACTGTGTGGGTTGTGCAAGGCCATTAGATTTATGTAAAGGTAAACAAAAGACCAAAGGGAAAGAAGAAGATGTGTTTTATTTTTTATTTTTTCAAAAGTTTTAGAAAGCTGCCATTTACTTGGAAATCTCGGTTTCATAGATATCGTTTGTTTCATTTCTTATAGTTTCATTTGATAAGAAGATGAAAAAAGGAGCTAGAATAGAAAAGTACTAGGAGTTTGGTCAAATTTATATATCTTGCTTTGAATCCTTTTTTTTTATTGGTAAACAGTGTTGAGACTCAACTTCACACCTTGAAAGTTATTGAGCCACAACTGCTTATTTGCTCATGTTTTTTAATCTCTAACTAAATAGATCTACATAAACCTTTGTTGTGATTTTAGGCTTTATGTTTTGTGCATAGATTCTTGTTTTGCTTCATTGTGAATCATGTTTATTCTGTGTTGTATTACCGGTACGCTTTTCATAGCTCCCTTACATAGTTGTCTTTATGCTGTTTCACATGACTGAACAGTTTTGGTTGCACAGTGTCTTGTATCCAGCTACATGTCAAGAACAGCACAATGCACAACTCGCAAAGAGCAGCATGTACGAGGGGCGTTCAATCAGTAATGCCCCTGGCCCGCTTCCAAATGTTTATTCGAGCTGAAATTTTGCATGTGAAGTATTTTAAATCTCTATAGATTAAGTAGCAAATTACAGCTCTGAACTAATTGTGGTTTCTGATTTACTGCTGTTAAAACTGAGTCAAGTCTGAGTTTTTGCATTTGAAAAGACGCACAATGGGAGACTTTTGATCAAATAAAAGTGTCTTATAGTGATAATGTCCCATAATATTACCTTGTAAAACATTTTGCAAGGTCATATAACGGGCATCATCTCCATAAGTTACTTTAATTTCATCAAAAGTCTCCTGTGGTGCGAGTCCTTTTCAATAGAAAAACCAGATCACTGTTCGACACTCATCAGGCTCCATTTCAGACTTTACTCAGTTCAAAAACCTGTAAGTCAGAAACCACAAAAAGTTTAGAGCTGTAATTTGCTACTTAATCTATAGAGATTTAAATAAAATCACATGCAAAACTTCAGCTCAATCAAACATCTGGAAGTGGGTCGGGGCATTACTTATTGAACGCCCCTCGTATGCATCTAAATTGCTTTGCTAGTCTCTGTACATTGGCAGATGCAATTGAGAGTGTGGATTTACTTTATTTGCTTTGATGAGTGGGGAAAAAAGGGTTTTTCGATGTTTTCAAGTGCAAGTACACATCAAAGCACAAGGTGCTACGTTGAAATATTATGTTGTAGTCGTTCCTAGCAGCAGCTCCTCGCATACAGGCGGGAAGCCTCAGTTTAAAATAAAGTATTTGTCTGGGCAAGTTTTATTTATTTAATGCATTTATTTATTTTTAAAGTTAATGTAGGTATTAACTATAAGCTGTTTCTATACAGAACAGTCAGAAAACTTTACTGGAGTGATCAGAGCACTTACTACATGAAAAATACATGTACATAATATATCTCCTGGCTTTTCGTGTAATCCTGGTGGATTATAACTTTTTCTTATATATTCTTGTTCTCTTTTTCATGGGAAATAATGGCTTTGATTCTAAAGAGCAAGCATCTGATTTAGAGGCATAGATGTGTCCAGTTCTTTTTTTAGGTAAAAAGATCAGGTTGGGTCTGTGAACAGAATAATTTGTAATGTACACAATGGAGATGGCTGGTAGCCTTCATTTTCATTTCCTCACATCTTGAGTTTATCAGCTAATTAGGATGCTAGACATCCTCTAACAGCTTCTCTCAGTAGTTATGCCCTGTTTAGGCCTGGGACCTGTACTATAAAACAGAATTAATGTTTACACATTTTACATTTCATTTCACATTTTATCAAGATCTATTGCCTTGATTAATGTGCATGTTGTGAATTAAAAAAAAAGATCCCAGATCTTAAGTTTCTGACAGACAGTGGCTGATCGAACTAAAAATTTTACAGGGTATTTCTTACACCTCTACTTCTAAATGAATTACTCTGATTTTTAACTGATTGTTTGTTATGTATCTTCTGCAATAGAGTTGTGTTTTATTAAAAAACATCCCATTTCATTTTTCATTGAGATGAAAGCTTATATTCATTTTAAAGCCCCACTCATGTATGTTTCTTTTCCTGATCTCTTTAATTTTTACACATGAAGGAACAGAACTCCAGGCACCTTGAGGAACACAGAGAAACGGAGGACACATCCGAGAAGACCTCCCCGAACAAGAACCTGAAATCCCCTCAGAGAGGCTCCAAACGCCTTAAAACATCCCCCTTCAAGGTGGCACTGCTGGATTCCTCGGAGTATGAGGGAGAAATTGAGGTATGCTAAATGGAGACCAGTAATTTATATACACATTTTGTTGAAGTGGGATTTGCATTTTCTGACTGCATCATTTTGACTTGTGTGTTCTATGCGAAGTCACCAGTAGAGCTGATCCTTCAAAGTGTTAGACATTACTACACTGCAGGGACCAGGTCTTCATCTCCCACTGAATGTGCAACTGTGTGAAGCTGAGCAATTTGCAGTTGCCTTGAAAGGAACTGAGAGCAAAGAAGATGTGAGGGAGTTCATTGAGATAAATTCAGTGGGATTTATTTTTTCTGACCTGCAGTAACAACAGCTCCTGTTGAACAGTTTTATCGCTTTCTTTAAAAATAACTTTGCTGGATTCTACTGGAAAGAATTAATATCCAATTACTGGAGTGTGGAGGGTTCTGGACAGTAATTTCTCAAGCTGTTTCTGTGCAGGCTGAGTGTTTTCTACTCCCTCACACAGAATCTGAGCAAAAGCAAATCTTACACACAATAAGTCTGCCAGGAAAGTCCCAGCCTCTGTGCATTAAACAGGAGCTCTATAGGCAGAGATTTATTGGTGTGCAGTGCTTTGCATGTATTTGCAAAGAAACACACACACAGGTTAAGAATTTTTTCTCATCTTTACCGTATTGATGTACATCACCTAATCCAATTCATATTGGCATAGTTTATGAAAGTTTGGTCCCTTTGCGGTTTGTTAAATGGAATCAGGAGCCAATTATATCTGTATGCAACATTAAAGGATCTAATAAGCAGTGTTTTACTTTCGGTTTGAATTTTTTGCTGAAAAACCTCTTAAAGCATGGGCTCCCTATGGGGCTTTTTTTCTCTACTGTTGTAAAGCCGCTTGCAGAGACCACTAACTGGGTGCTAAAAAAGTCTATAGTGGTTACATGATTGCGAGCTAGGTGCAGCCAAGGAGAAAATAGAAGAGCAATGTTATTATAGTGCAAGAACACTACCGGGGATACTTTTTGCACAAGTGTATGAGGTTTAAGTGTGTGCCATGATGATGGGGGCAGGGCGACCTGTGAGTTTGGACTATCAGAAGAGCTGCATGTATACCGTCATCTTTCTCAGCTCCCTGAAAACATTCTGAAATCCATTCGGGCATCTTCATACAGTACAATATCCTTGTTCCATTAGGTTTGATGTTACTAAGCCTTTCTGTTTGAATTGCTCTTCTTGATTAGTATCCCACCCTGGCAACTGCACAGTCACAGGAAGTGAAAGATGTTTGAATCAAACTTTCTTATATAATATTCTTGCATTCTGATTTTTATGCAAACTAGCAAAAAAAAAAAGAAAAGAAAAAAAAAAGGACCAACATACTGGCAGGCATGTCATAACAGTACTACAAGAGGAATTTAAATCAGTATTTTTTATTTTAGCTTAGGTCATTGGCAAGACTTTACTGTATGCTTGATGTTCACAGATTCTCTACATCCAATCTGACAATGCTCTAGCCCTTTGGGAAAGAAAAGTTGGCCATACATTTCAACTGTAGTTGGAGCAAAATATGGTTCTAAAATCAATGAAGTCACAGATTGTGAATGGATATGTGTACACCTTCCAGATTTGTATGTCTTATGTGATAGAATGTCAAAAGTTGCTGGAAAACTTTTCTAAGAGAATTTAATTACCCAGTTATCAGTTGACTAGAGTGATTATGAACAGATGAAGAGTTTTTGTCTCCAGGTTTGTAAAGCTGATACAGACACTTCTCAGTAGATGTCAGCAAACAAGGTTTGTTGTAATGTGATTAACTGTGAAAAGGTTCTATGGTATGAATGCTTTTGCATAGAACTGTATATAAAATGCCCTACTTATTGACAGCCTGAGACATAAGTATGAAGTGTGAACAGCCAGCTTGGCTTCAGCCTGTTGATGCAGGGGTGGAACCTCCTGTCCGTCTCTCCTGATCCTCCCTCCTGCCTCCAGGCTTGCTGTTTAGGTTGCCAAGAGGAGGTTGGCACCACAAGTGCTCTCTTCAGATGAGGTGCTGTGTTCCTGGGGTATTTTGTTTGTCACAGATATATTGTTGAGCTTCTCCTCGGCAGCTGGCCAGGAGCGGAGGCGCCACACCTACCTTCCATGTGTGGTCAAACCAGGCTGGGCTATGCCACTGGGCTATTTTAGGCAGAATTGAGTTTTCCACATTGCAAATTTTTGTTCCATTTTCCCATCAACAATGCTGGAATTCAATATTCTATCCATTCGCCAAGTGTTGCTTTAACACAATAACAATAGTTAAAACACTTTTTTGGCATACCCTTGGGATATTAAGGAACAAGTAAGCAGAAGAATAATACTGCATCTGTTTCCCTGGCAACTGCTAGCCCAATTTTACTGTCAGTGCACAAAGGAGCCACAAAAGAAGGAAGCATGTGTGAGAGTATAAAACTGTGTGGTTAGATGTTAGGTGTAAACACTAACATAGACGTCTTTGTTCTATATTTAACTGAAGCCAATGAGTGCATGAATAGAATGAAGTAGGTTTCCTTTTGTGTGAAGACAGATGTACTGTAACAATATTTTTGGTAAAAACCTTTAAACAAATTCTATCTGAGGTTTGGATTTAAAACTGTTTTATCATCCTATAAATACAACCTTTTGTAACTGCTTGCAGCTTTGAAGTAAGCAGAGTGTTTGAAAGCACTGATATTAGGTTTTTATGAATTTGTTCCATGCCTAAGGCTCAGAGAAACCATGGAAATACCGTTGCACCAACATTATTGATCTTGACCCCTTTAGGCCAAATTCTTTTTTGTCTACGTCCTTATTTCTAGAATTTGCACAAAGGTTTGCACAAGCAAAAATATGCATTTCATTTTGATTGGATTTTTTAGTTTCCAGTTTAAAGAGTTATAAGTCAGAAAAACAACAAAAAAATATAATCGAAACGTTAATGATTTTTTTCCACAGCTACCTGAGTTTGTTAATCAATATGACCATATAATGTAGCCCCAGATACAGGAATATAATCTTTTAATGACTTTTTGCTTCTATCACATTAGAATAGTGGCAAAAAAGAATCCTAATGCATTTCTGTTTGCAAAAATGTTCCATTGGTGTTTGAAAGCATACACTCAAGAGAAAATGATGCTTTCAGCTTGGTTTGCCACTAGATGTTAGCCTGTTAAATGATAACTTAATAAACTAATCTTTTAGCAGTGTGGCAGAAATATGAGATTTAAGTCATAATTCAATTCACCCATTCCACCCTGTTCCGTGTTCTGTGCCTCGCATTTTCAAACAGAATGTATCGCTCTGTCAACAACTATTACATAAATACCAACTTGTTGAATAAAACGGTGCAAGAGTTATGATTACAACAATTACCCCTGAACTTAGACCTTTAAGTTTGAAAGCTTGACCTTAACTTAGTTTTCTCTTGCATGAAGCAATTCTTTAGTTATAGGCTTGTCTTAGCCATTATGATGATTTTTGTCACATAAAACCTGTTACCAGTGCTGGTGATTTAAAATATTCAACTTTATTATAAACTTGAATTGCAAACAACAAAAGTTGTTAGTTTGGTCTAAAGATGGATGGATGGGTGGTTAATTGATTGATGGAAAAACAGAGCTAGGTTCAAATCAGTTAAACAGATCTTTGAAAAATTACATGACAGAAATCTAGCTTTAAATTGGGAATGCTGAAGAACCTTAAACTGTGTTAGAAAGTAATGGAAATTTTGAATATACCTTCTTACATCATTGCAGTTATACCTCATTAAAGTGTAGTTACTGAAAGCTTAACTTTTGTCCTGCAACATCTACTCAGAGTCTGTGCTCTGTCATAAAATGACGAGTACCCACTAACTAGCTGGAAGGATTCCACAATTCTCTAATGAAGAGCATGATTGCGAAATAATTGAGAGAACTTAAAGATGGGTTCTGATTATTTATCGCCAGCAGCTTTTGGTACAGCGCAAAGAACAGGTTTTCACAGATGACTTGATTAACTATTAAAAAGGGTCCTTTATTAAATTTACCCTCTAAAATTAAAGGAAAATGTTGAAAAGACTTATTTTTTTCATGTTTCATACACCATTCAAACCAGCTTCTGATTGCACTAGCAAGATTTTTTTTGTTATTTGATTTCTTCTCGACTTGTACCTGTAGCCAAAAAGAATGTTAATTTTAGAAGAAAATAATCCTTCCGTAGTGATTGGATAGATTTTACTGTAGACGTCTGAAGTTCATCAGTCTGTAGAAGTTCCTCTGTTGCTCCTGTTTGGAACATAAACTATACAGACTTAGAGCAGACAAAGTATCTGTCATGAACCGAGGACAGATGGACCCAGTATTCAAGGAGAGACAGACAGTAGGAAAGTTCAAACGTTAGTAAATAAATAAATAAAAAAAGCGGAGCTGTGGCTCGCGGACACTGCAGGCGGGGGGGTGGGGCACCGCCCAATCTCAGACACTCTGTAGTGGGAGAAGTACAGGTAAGTGACCACGATCATCGGACGGAAGATGATTATCTGAATTGGTCACTTACCTGGTTTAGCAGTCCAGACCAAGAATGTCCCCAAGTGCTGCAGTCCCAGAGGTCATGCTGGAAGCCGATCCTGGTCAGGAATCCAGAACAGACAGGAACAGAAACAGGTGGCAGGATCCAGACTTCCAGGCATCCACAGGCTCCCAGGAGGGTTCAGAGTCTGACTGGGACCAGAAGCATGACCCGGTGGTCACGCACAGGAGCAGACAGGATCAGGTGCAGA